TTAAATTCAAAGCAAAGTACGGACCTGTTCGGCCATATTTCATTGTTGCAGGTTGCCCGGGTCTTTCCTTAATTCGTATCAGTTAGTCACTTTCTTATATCTATGAACAGACTTTACCATTACATAGTATAACGCTTATTTTGTCATTTCATTTGCGGGTTGATGCAATTTGGTTTGAAGTACTAATGCTTAAATTAAAGCGAACATATATATACCGTTCTGTTGTCAACCTTGTTTTTTTTTCTATACATATTTGTGTGCCTATAATGCTTTTTTTTTAACCGTTATTAAATTTAAAAAAAAAATGTTTATAGCTGTCTATAGGTCATTTACGTGACCAAGTTTAAAGTAATATCACTGATGGAAAAAAATAGAATTACCAACCTACTCGAAGATAACGTACTTTACTTTAAAAACTAATTTATTACTTAACGTATTATTAACCTAAAAACTGATGTTTAATGTGTTGAAATAATAACCACATACAACGTCAGAATAGGTAAAGATATGGTCGTTAGTCAGAAAAATGCTTCGGAGGTTAACACTGTTTCCTATATGTCTCTGCGAGGTGGCGTTTTGTGGTCTCAAAAAAATATCATTTTCTGCCAAAATAATAAATGCAAGGATATGCACCTTTTACGTCAATAGAAGGTTAGATTTTGGAAGAAATTTCCTTTTTGTTGGTTAGTTTAAAGACAGAAACAATTAATTTCTAATTAGAAATGAATTATTCCATTGAAAAGAGGTGTGTTATTCATTTTTTAAGAAGCTTACCAGATTTTACTGCTGAAACAATGGCAATAGTTCGTTAATTGCCTACAATTGATTAGTAACCAAGTTAGTGTTTAAACAACAATAAACAAGATACCTAAAGTAATTTTAATGGTAAAGCGGTTTTTTTTCCAATTTAAAGACCGCGTATATTAAAAAGACATCTATCGATACATTGATATAAACTTTTTTTTCATAACATTATCCACGGAAAGACACCCTTTTATGAAACACGCTGTATATTGTGCCATTAAAGGAATTACGTTATTGGCTTAACATTTTTGTGCGTTGTGGGGAATAAAGAATTTGGGAGACTTTTTATTTCAACACAGGTTGTATATTACAGTGCTGCAAATTGCATCGCGTTTACCAACTGTCGCGGAATTGAGATTAATCGCGTGTTTCACAAACAATGCAATATGAACGGCGGAAAACGTTCTAAAACAGCAAAACGTCATTTTTTGTTGATTTTGCGTGTGGACTAGTGGCGTGTTTTCCGCGTCAAACGGTCGAGAGTAAATCTTGCGGCAGATTCTATTATACACATATCGCATACGGTTAATGTGTTATTATGTTTTCATAATGTGTATTATACGAGGTGTGTCCAAAAAGTAAGGCGACTTTTTGACTTTTAACCGTTTCAGTATGGCAGCCCCCCGTGGAAAAAGTTTCCCTCCTGCCGGCACTTTTTGCATTGACTCTATGTCTGATGACGTATATATACGTCACAATAATAAAAGTTAAAAAGAAACAGTACCAAGGGAACCATTAAATGAAAAAACTTTATTATTTTCGAAAAACCAAAGATTTATGTACTAGATACTAAATCTAAACTAGAAAACAGTGAGGAAAAAAAGCTTTTAAAACTAAATAGTACAAAAAAAAACTAAAAACTAGAAAAAAAAAACTAGAAATATTATTCAATTTTAAAAGTGGGCTACTTTGTGATATATCCAGAAACAGGGTAGAGCACATAGACCAACATCACATTCTCTGCAGATGTAGCTGCTTTCTCTTCTTTTTTTGGCTCAAACTGTATGTGTGAGCAAACTCTACACCTCCTAGTAGCGCTTTTGTCGTTCTGTTAGTTTGTTCATAGATATAAGAAAGTGACTAACTTATATGAATTAAGGAAAGATCCGGGCAAGCTGTAAGAATGAAACAGGTCCGTACTTTACTTAGAATTTAATTATTTATGGTTTTGTTAGGAAAAATACTAAACAATATTTATTTATTTATTTATGTTTAAATCTAAAATGAAATTACAAATTATTTTTATTACCTACTTAAATTACTTAAAATTATTCACATAATATATCAGTACCACTATCGCTATCATCACCTTCTTCTGCATTTGGGCGGGAGCATCTCCTGAGATACACTAAACTCGCAGATATTTTGCATAATTCGCACACGATTCAACACACGCTGTATTACACGAAACAAGAATGGTTACTAATAAGCTTAAACTCAGTAGTATACGAAACCAAAGAATAATAAACACAGGTAGGTATAAAATTATTTTCTATTACGGACCACAATTTTGCCTGGATTTAAATTCCAAAACTTTAGGTAATAAGCTTGTTGCATTGTATGCTAATGACCACACTTGGATAATCCCATTCAAAAGCAATTTGTCACTTTCTTATATCTATGAACAGACCATATCCCTTTGAACTCCTTTATCGACAAGGAGAGCGTGCTCACTGACACCAGCGCTACATTTATATACGTACTGAGAGTGCGGAAAATATTACTTACGGCTGAGAGTCACTTTGGACATATCCGGTATATTAGTCACGGGTTTGAATGCGATCAGTTTGGGTGCGATAGGATTAATTTAGCACTGTGGAAGCTGCCGGGCAGCTGGGGCCGTTGCTAGCAAACTGGTCCCTATAGTAGACTCCTTAATCAGTAGTAGACTCCTTAATTTTAACTGATACAGGACGTACAAGGCGCTGAGTGCTTTCAATATTTTTACTTTTATCGAAAATTGCGTACTTTTACTTTTCGATTGAAAATTAGAAGGAATTGTTTACAATCTTTTTTTTTTCAGTGAAAGACTGTGCGGGGCAAAGCAAAATATACGCCCGCAGGGTTGCAAATTGTGATTTTTTTAAAATTAAATTTAAAATGTTAAAATTAGGAAGGTTAATAAAAATGTTTTTTAGGCAAGGTTATAACTTGTTAGTGATTAAATAACTTCTAAATGTACACGAAAACGAATTGAATGCAAATATAGCCACAAAAGAACAATTTAGTTTGCTGGTATCAGTGACAATGAAAATACAAAGAGGAAAAATCCAAAAAGCCATCGAAAATGTGTAAAGTAAAGAAGCATGAGACCTTGATGGTATTCAAGGCGAACTTTTAAAGCAGACACTTCGGGAGCGAAAAGACAAGGCCAGACGAATGGAACGAGGCTATAATAATAAAAATTCTTAAGAAAGGCCAGGTAAGATTTTCAATGCGAGCTAAATGATGGAAAAAGACAGCATCCATCGCAAAAGTTTTTGGAAAACGCGGTTTCTCAAATAAATTAATTAATCTGAGGAATATATGATTCCTAGAATCCAAGGCCCAAGTTAAAGTTGATGGAACGATTTCAGAACTGTTCAATATTAATAGTGGATTACGTCGCTTTCACAATTATTTTTTAACTTGGCTCTAGAATATGTAAAACAGGCGTTGGTAAGAACAAAGAGCAAAGTGAGTAGGGCTCAGGGTAAGTAAAGAATAAATTAAATACATGAAATTCGACCGAAGAGAAACACACAGACATATAAACTTATCAGATAATGGCTCTTTTAATAGAGTGACAGGATTCAAGGACATGGACTTATGGAGACAAATTGTATTGGAAAGGAATACAGCGGAAACAAAGTCATAGTTTATGAGCAGTTTACTTGGTCGACTCCATCTACCAAGAAAAGTAGAACTACTAAGAAGAACTACTGAGATAAAATAGTAACTTCGGTGGTAGAATCTAACTCTTAGAGGACAAGAGAAGCTAATCTGCTCCGACAACAAGGTCCTAAAGGTAATATATTATATGAAGTTGTCGTTATTTCAGAATATAAGCAAATTAAAACATTCTAAATTCAAATGTAATCATATCATAAAGGAAGTACAGTTCGCCACTGTCTTCTAATAAATAAAGGACCTCAAAAACCTACTAAGTAAATCGGCATTTCTTTTTTTGAAGTTTTCCTAGTAATAATACCCTATACTAACTGGCATGTCTAACATTAGTCTGTGTCTCGTGAATTAGGCGGTATTTCTTCATACATCCTTTGCGAAGGTCTGTCTGTACCTCTTAAGCAAGCAGTTATTAACCATAAAATGGAATTTTGGTATAAAAGGTATCTTATAAATCTTATCTTATAAATTTAAATACTTTTATTAAAATATTATGATCTGCTGTAATTGAATGTAGTCATTTATATAAATTTATATTATTTGTATTTGGCATAGCAGGACATAGTCGAAGCAACACTCTATAAAATAGTAACAGCGTGTTTCGCTTTCGATAAGTAGCACCATTTTTTTCAATTTCGTACAAACCGAAGCACAGTTAAAATCTATTTTGCGGAAACTTGGATACGATTTCATTCATTTCGGCCAACTATTCGGAAGATTATAGGTGCCCGTGTTCTCCAAAGTCCGTTCGATATTTTATGGCTTATAACTTTTTAAGTCATTTAATTAATTTATTGCCTTGAAAGTAATTTTGGCCGCATTCACCGGGTGTATTTCATAAAAAGACCCTTTTTAACAGGAAAGTTTCTGGCACGAAACTTTGCGTCTTGAAGTTCAATTTTCTTTTGCTTTGTGTAACGGATTCATCACCTAGTTGTTTTAAAGTCAATTAATTTTGGGCGCCTTTCGGGTAACGTGACGATTTTTGGCAAATACGATGGCTGATTGATGCTCGACGCCTAGTAAAATGATGACATCGAAAAAAGAAAGCCATCTAAGGAACTGGCAAATCATTTAGTTTATTTTTATAAACTTGGAACCATCACATCATTTCAACTATATCATAGAATGTAGAAGGTCATATAAGCAAAAAAATATTCACAAACAAATTGTGTATTACATCATATAAAAAAAATACAATAAATACGTAGATCACAGGCCGCATTTGCTGTTCCTAGAACAGAATGCAACAGTCCGTGTTTTTCTACTAAAATTGGATACAAAAGAAATAGTGGAAAAGAATTTCGGAGATAGAGTTAACTTTAACAAATTTAGTAGGTTAGCTTATAATATGAACTAAATGATATTCTAGATATTTATGACCCTGGAATAGCAGCACTACCGTGAGATAAAACCATATATTACAAATGGAATAGTAAATTATATAAAAACTAGAGACGAAATGAAAAAAAAAACCTAATAAAAATCCCACACTTGCATTACCTATTTTTATATGGAAAAAGTAAACGAAAATATTAAAAATAATATGAAAATGTATGAACTAATTATTGAAGTTACAAATGACAATAAAAGCCGACTTAAGTGGCTAATATCTTCAATAAATATTTTATCAAAGTGGGAGAAAAAATGGCTGCTAAATTCCCGTCTTTCCTGCAATAATAAGACAAAAAAGTGTACGATCATCGCTTTTAACTCCAGTCACAGTAAATGAGATATAGACTATGTAAATAATTAAAAAAAAAACAATTGGTCAAAAAAAAGGATAAAATTAGTTGAAAAATTTTAAATGTGTATATATAGAGCAGAATGTAGATCGGATACGAGTAATTATAAACCAATTCATGTAATATCAAATTTAAGCAAAATATCATATAATAACATAAGCCTCCCTTTTTTTTTCTCTTTTCTTAGAAGTAATGATCTATTAAACAGTCATCAATTGGGTTTCACTCAAGGGATGAGTACTAATGAGTAACGAAATTAGTAACCATCTGGGCGGTGATAACTGCACAGATACATTGTCGCATGCGCAATTAGTTGGTATACTTGTCTAGAAACTATCGAAACGATAGACCTCAATTCAAAGAAATAGGAAACCTTTTCAGTGACCAATGCTTTGTCAAGGAACTGTGTTAGACGTGAGAGGAAGAGTTGTTTCCTATGCGGATACACAGTGAATGTTTTTGATGATTCTTTTTGGATACTTGTGACGGGTAAAATAGATAATGGCTTAAAAGTACTAAAAATGCTTTTGAAACCTTTTCAACTTTTCAGATATACATATTGGCACTTTAGTAGTCCCAATTAAGGAAAACTAATGTTATAGAATACTTGGGAGTGATGGTTGATAAAAACCTCAAATGGGATAATCATATAAAAAAAAATTGATCTTTATTACTTTTTACAAAACTTCTGGATTCCTCCCGCGTCGGTTTTTGCTGAGTCGAAATTGCTGACGTTTCTCCCATCATCCTGTTGGCTTCTTCTGAGCTTGACTGACACTGGCTCGTATTTTACTCTGTACCTGCTTATATATTGTTTGAGAAGGGCGGAGCTATAAGACAACTTGGTGACAGGAAGAGACCTGAGTCGCAGTTAAGATTGTTAGGTTGTTTATAGATTTCTATAGACTCTCGGATTTTTCGTTGGTAGAAGAACTGATTACATGCAAGAATTTTCGTTTTATCGAATAAAATTTTATGTCCGGTTTCATGAGTGTGTTCGGCAAAAGCTGACGACTTTATTTGTCTTAGTCGTAAGGCTCTTCCGTGTTCTTTGAGCCTAGTTGATATTTTTCGTCCGGTCTCTCCAATATATTCTTTGCCGCATATGCTTGGAATGCTGTAAACTCCTGGCATCTCAAATGGAAAGATGTTGAAAGATTTTTGGAGAAGTTGTAAATCTGGTTTTGACGTTATACTTCTTTAGAAGTTTTGGCAACTGTAGGATTGCTTTCGGCCTCATTGCTATTGGAAGGTTGTGGTGAGGTGTATTTTTTGATGGAACGCTTAATATCTTTAATGTGACAATAATTAGAGAGAAGAACAGAGGTGAGGTGTTTTAATTCTGTTTTCAGTGACTCGGGCTGAGGTAGTTTTACGGCTCTGTAAACAAAAGAGTTCATAACCGATGATTTTTAGGCCGGATGGTGATGTGACCATGCATTAAGGTATCGGTCTGTGTGCCTAGGTTTTCTGTAAACACAATGACCCAATGTTAGGTCTGATTTTCTAATGATAAGAATATCTAAGAATGGAAGGTTATTATTAGTTTCCAACTCAATAGTTTGGAAGTTTTGTAAAAAGTATTAAGCATAAGCCATTCTGGGCTAAGAGATATTAAAATGGGCGTTAACGTACAGTGTTGCAGTATTCATCTTGAGCCTCTAAGAGTTATACAAAATGCTACTGTGAGAAATTATCTTAAAAAAAAAACGCAATTTTGCTCTACTGCTTAATGGTATACATATATGCAGTGTTAATACATTGTTTTTCTTTTATATATATATACATAAACATTGAAACTAGTGCTAATAGTCACAGAAATGTTATCGTCCCTAAATTAATCGTTTATTTGTAAGAAAAATTAAAAAAATTAAGATATTTTCTTGACTGGCCAAAAACTATATTCTAGGAAACTCTTAAATATTTACTTAATTTCACTTTTCCGATTTTAATTAGGATTTAATTATTGTAGATTTGCAATTTGATAAATTAGTTAATGTTAGACCTTGACACATACAGATTTATTAAACCTAGGTCGGATCGTTATCGTAAATGTAATATTGAATAATTGTAATAATGAAAACTATAATAATAATAATTATTATTATTACAAGTGTAATGTTAGACGAAAATCTACCAAAACCAAATTGAGGACGTAAACTTACCTGTAAATCTATGTAGTCGCATACAGAAACCAGTTATTTTGGTTAGTGCCATCGGTTTTTGCCTTGGTGTCACAACCTCCGTCCACAAACGGAAACAGCCACTTAACCTTATTAAAAAAAAGTAATAATAATAATAATTTACAATTGACAAAAAAAAGTCCTAATAAAATTATCGCGGGAATCCATGTTATCCAGGAATGACACTTTGAAGTAAATATTAATAATAATTGCTTGATTATTAAGAGATTTTCTTTCACACGCCTCGTCCAAGACAGTTAATATTATCCGAGAAAGCAGAGTATGAAGCGACAGATATGGACTACATTCAGATAAGCAACTGTTGGTAGGATTTTAACTCGTTTCAAACAGACAAGGTTTATAGAGCGTAAATACAATAGGAATGATCAATTAAAAGTACTTCAGGCACTTGTTGAAAATCCCAGAAAGTGTTAAAAAAAGCTCTGTTAAGAAGATCCTATGAAAACAAAAATATCATTCCAGTAAACAAAAATCTGTTTTACGAACGAGACTGTGATTTGCGATAAGACTTCTACATGTGGATTTTAGGAAAAACAAAAGATCAACGTCATTTCCATAAACAAGTTCTTTTGGGAGATTAATCTATGTTCACAACTAATGGTGTTATTAACAACGTTTTTATTTCGCCAAAATTTAACTGTATTATCAGACTATTTGGACAATTGTTGTTTGAAAGAACGTCATAAACTATGGTTTGTGCATGATGGATGTCCTGTGCATTTTGGTTAAACAGAAATTTCGATAACTAATGGTTGTATTTATCTAAAAACTTAAACCACTTAGTTTATTTTACAAATCATACTAAATTGGAACAAAAATTCTCTAAATTGATTTGATTTAGAATATTTAAAGTTATTTAAAAAAAAAGGAAATAGTTTTTATTTCCGTGGGCCCTATTTTGATATCAAGGTATAACCTTTCTTAATAACATTTTTGAAACTGGGGGTAGTTTACTCTTGTGCATTTTTTGTTTTTTTTGTCCTATCATGTGTCCTGTTATAGTTGCAAATTTTACTTGCAACCAATATGATTAGAGAACATGCACTAGCTTTTGGCAATGTTAGAATTTTAGTTGTGCATTTAGCAAAAAATCCCATATTGCACATTAAAAGACCACACTGAACACTACTGGTTGAATGAAAGAAAATATTTTTTGGAATATGCAAAAAATTGACTTTTAACAAAAATGGTAAGTGATTTGTAACAAATATATTACAAATTGCGCGAAAGCTGCATTTTTATTTTTGTTTTGTAAGTGAAATGGTTGTTAAATTGAGACATTTGACATTAACATTCAGCGTTCAATAAAAACGTTTTCTTTAAGGGTTGTGAGACGCTATCATATTTGTAAAAAATTCCAAACACCAAACAACCCCAAAAACTGATCGTCCTTTATGCACATGGTTTTTAAGTAATGTTTTTAGATACACAAGGTCCAAAATAAAATTTGCGCTTGTTACTTTTGAAAATCGATGAAATCGAATTTTTCGAAAGCATCTGCGGTCGTATAAAAATTTTATATCTCGGTAATGATAGATCCTATGGAATCGCCGTTGGTACAGAAATGATCACCGTCGAAAAAAAATTTTTTTTTTCGAACCGTTGGAGCTACAAAATTGAAATTTGCCTACTTTTTAATCCTCCATGAGGCACATAAGCTTGTAAAAAATGGTCCTGATCCGATGCCGGTATCCATCTTTTTTTCGCTATTTTCGACTGTTTTTTAGTCCTTGCTATGAACCACGATAAGTGTCCGAAATTCCCTAAGGAAGCTTAGTGAAACTGAGGGGCTGGGGGGTCGGGAAGTATTTAAAAAAATATATAAATCACGTGTGCAAGGGTCTACAAAAAAGACGATTTTTCAAAAACGGTTTACAAAACCAAAAAAATTCTTGAACCAGAAGACGCAGAAGAAACGACTCCATTAAGTTTTATTTTAGACAATTTTTCAAAAATATACAGGATGTGCCGCAAATTCAAAAAAAACTGAAAAATGGGTACCCCTATTATTGAAAATTGGAAATCATTTCAAATCTGTGATTTATACTTTTACATGAGACCATATGGACCGCTTAAACTTTTGTATTTACGGTTTTTAAGTATTGTACAGGGTGTTTGCGATATTCCGTGCAATATTAAAAACATAATAAGTACTCCAAATTTGCAGCTACCGAATTCAGACTTGGAAGAGAAGTAGAAGTCTGGACCCGCATTTAGAATCTTTAAATTGGGAGCAATAGAATAACGCGAAGTATTTTTTTTTATTTTTGAATTTTTGTTTCTTTTCCTCCAAAGTCATTCATCCGACCGGAAAAAATTTACATCCGTAATATGTGGGAGACCCGGCGCTATAACTTTTGTTTCAGGCATTTTTTTGATTATATGCAAGGTGTTTTAGTTATGGATAAAAATCTAAAAGACACTGAAAATTGTTCTTTTAGAGAGTAAATTATTAACCGTAATTCAAAATTCGTACAAACAATAGCTAATCTGTTCAAACAGTGTTATAGACCATATCAAGGGCTACAATTTTTGTATTTACGGTTTTCGTCTATCACATACGCTGTTCGAGATATTTGAAAAAATCCAAATGAAAATCACCATTTCTCGTCCTCAACCTAGACGCGATGACGTCATTTACAATTACCACGTACTGCATGGTTTCAAAAAACAAGTAGTTTTTTGAAAACCATTTACTCTATTGGAATAATTCGGATACCAAGGAACTAAGAAGATCCAGAGCTATATCTTCTTTTTCGAACATTGTTGGAATTATATACAGGGTACGTCCTTGTTGGAAAAAAATTCTAATAGATCCTAGAAATTTCCGCTTCTGTGCGTCAATTATTGGCGATACATGAAAAACTTTAAAGATGTGATAATTTGATATGAACGGTATCGTAATCTGTGTTGAGAGAGAGTTTGAGATTTCGTTTATAATACAGGGGACGCAAGATATTTGAAAAAATATAATTTTAAATTGCAATTACCAGTACAAATTTTGATATTTACCGAAGTATGCCGTAAATTTGAAGTTCGACTTTATACAGGCTGTATTCACAATCAAATTACATCGATTTTGCGAAAGTTCCATAGTGGTCCGCAGGTCAGCACATGAGAAAACCTGATCATGGCAGACATCATATAACCACACAAGTTGAAGACCATCCTTTAAGAGTCTCTACTTTAAGATGAAGGTTTGTGGCAGGATGATTGCTACAGGTACAGGTACAGTAAACAGATGGACTCAGAATTTCAAGTGTATCGAAAATTAAGGTTTCATTTTGCTGGTGATGATGAAGACTGGGAAAGAGTTATTTGGTCAGATGAAACCAGATTTTGTTACTAAAACTCAGATAGATCTAAGAGTTTATATAAGATATATGCTTAATCTGACTTTCAAAACGGCGGATTATTTGGTCTATAGTCAGTTATGTTTTGGGAAGGAATCTCTTCAACTGCTCGTACTGACCTGGTGATTATTAATAGTGACAGTCTTACAACAGATATATTAGTGATTTTTTTTTGTTTCGGCAAGATAAAAAGTCAAATAAACCCATTTCATCGTTCGTCGTTTCACCTTTACCGCGGTGAAAAAATCATTTTCCTTTTGTAACAAAATGTCCGTGTAGGGTATCGTGGTTTCCGAGTATCGCATTCAACAAGTTAATTACATTAACAAAAGAAAGTTTCGATCATTTCCCCGTTATTTATCGATAAATATCTGCCCGCTTGCGAGACGCGAGTGGCTCGTCCTTTTTGTTTCGGTATTTTACTGATTTCGCATTATATGATTGGGCGAGCATACGAATGCTCAACGAGTCGCACATTTCACTTAAATCAGCCGAGTATCAGATTGCGATCGATATATGATTTAGGTCGTAGAACCGATATCGCAGAAACTGGAAATGGATTGAAAATCAAGGGCCAGACATATTTGTCCGATATTTGCCGTAGAATTAGTACGAATGTCCTTTACGCAATCGAATTTCAAGATTATGCAATGCATATGAGAACGGAATTTATGCCGTGTGTCAAATAAAACGACCCACTATACCATCTGGAAAACCATAGGATACGAAAAAAAGTATCAACTTTGTTATTTTAAAACGAACACCTTGTATATATCGACATTGGTTAAAATAAGGGTCACTTTTTTAAGAAATTCCTATTCGAATTTTGCATAGTTTAGGCAGAAATTGAGGTTATGTGTTTTTTTTTTCAAATTTTGATTGCTTCATATAAAATTGTGTTGTGACGCTACTGATCCAGGTATTGCAACGAAAATTTAACCACCTACTAAGGAGATAATGCACTACTCAATCAGTTTGACAGAGGCGCCTCAGCTTATACAGGGTGCCCTTTTGGCGAATTCAATTAACAAAATCTCAAGATTTTGAAATGGAACATCCTATATTTTTATTCAAAATTCAGATATCAATTCTAGTATAAAAAAATAGGGTAAATTTGTAATTTATCTGAATATTTAAATTTTTCTTAATTTTTGATATATTCGAAGTTAACATAAATTCTTGTTGAATTTAAAGCTGCCTAGATTGGCAATATTAGGTATTTATAAATAGCAAAGACATGATCCTACTTGTTTTAAACATATAATACCCCAGATATACTAACAAAACTTATTGCTAACAATATAGATTTAATAAACAGAATTCATATTTAACGAAATATTTAATTGGTAATTATGTAGCTTGATTGAAAACAGCAAATAACAAAAATAAGTAATTAAAGTTTATGGGCTAACTAACCAAGGAAACAAATTTGAATAAATATTTCTTTTAAAAAAAGGACACTAAAAAGTGTTCTTTAATTCGGTCCATAAAGTTTAGTTAAAAATGTAACTCTTAAAATGTTAGTTTCATATGGCATCAAAACAATAAAGAAATATCAAAATTTTTAAAAATGCAGTTGCTATGACATCACAATCTTTTTTTCTTGTTGCATTAAGGTATAAACATTTTTCATATTTCTGTTTAAAAAGTTCATAGTTGTCAAGTTTTCTGTTAGTATATTTTTTATTTGTATTTTAAATAAGTTATATTTTTTTGGTTAACCTATGAACTTTAATTACTTATTTTTGTTATTAAGTATTTTCACTCAAGCTAGATAATTAACTATTAAATCTTTCTTTAAAAAATAGTTTTATAAAATCTGCTAAAGTGTCGATTTTTCTTAAAATCTCCGGGTATTAGTGGACACCCTGTATTGTTATCAATACGTTTTTTTCGTATGTCTGGAGTATTATATCTTTAAAAGAAGTAGTATCGTATCCTAATGTGGGCAGCTTAAAATTCAACAAGCATTTATACGGGTGTTATCTTAAACATCGAATATCTCAAAAAGTAAGTAAAATTTGAATAAAATATAAATTACAAACTTAACGTGTTTTTGTCCTAGAATTGATATCTGAATAAAAATATAGGGTGTTCTATTTGAAAATATTGAGATTTTGTTAAATAAATTCCCTGTATAAGCTGAGGCGCATCTGTCAAACTGATTGAATATTGACTCATCTCCTTAGTGTGTGGTAGTAGCAGTAGCGTCAAAACACAATTTTATATGGGGCAATCAAAATAAGAAAAAAACACATGACCTCAATTTCTGCATAAACTATGCAAAATTCGAATAGGGACTTCTTAAGAAAGTGATCTTTATTTTAACCAAATATTCCAAAAATGTCGATATATACAGGGTGTTCCATTTAAAATAACAAAGTTGATGTCGGAGGGAACACTTTTGGGACACCCTGCATCCACAAAATTATAGTATCTTAAATCTTCAGGAGAGTCCAAGAAACTTTTGTACCAAACTTTTTTTCGCACCTACTGCGGAATCGTTTTATTTGGCACACGGTGTACAGGGTGCTTGTAATTGGAGGGTTTTACCAAAATCTCGATTTTTGGGAAACATTCAATGGTTCCCGATATCTTCACTGCCATCCGAGATATAAGGGGTTTTTTAATTTTCGGCCCTTTTGAAAACTGCCCATAACTTTTTTTTATTTATAAAAGCAATCGATTCGGACAAAAACATTTTTGAAAGGAAAATACAGTGGTATTCTCAGTTCTCCATTTTCTCATAAATAAATACAATTTTCTTATTTTATATGACCGTGAACTTAAAAAAAATGCCCATGTCGAGCCCTATTCAGACATACAGATTTGCTGGTATCTGTGATGAAAAAAGGTTAAGTAGTAGGCGGTGCATATAGCCGTCAATGTCAGGTAATGGCATAACACTTTACTCTTTATTGAATTTTGTGTTCTGTTAGGCATAATTTCAGTGGCCAAACCTAAGATGAACCGCGGCACCAACCACACAAGCAAATATTTTGAAATTTAAAAATAATTTTACCAATTACGGGATTTCAAAAACCAACGCAAAATTTCAATCACTTGCACGAAGAACAGGAAATCCAGGAATTGAATATAATTGGAGAAGTATTGGAAAATCCAAATCTTCACTACATGTTTGACTACTTAAAAAAACACAAATTCATGCCATATGGTACCAGAAAAGTCTATACCATCTACACGAAGGGGATGCTGGCAGAAGATACAATTTTGCAACTGGTTTAGGCAAAAATCCGATGAGAATATAAATTTTTCATTATCTACTGTTTGGAGTGATGAAGCTAGAATTGACTGTTCAAGAATATTTAACCTATTTTTTTTATCAAAGGCTAGAGAAAGCTAAACCACTCGAGAAGCGCTTGCTTTCATCAATCCTATAGAGTTAGTGAATAGTTGCCATTCAGTATGAAAAGTGTGTTGAATAGAATTAATGCAATTTTACTATTTTCTGTTCTAATAGTTATAGTAATTTGTTTATTAGCTCAAAATGACTATAATTTTGTTTTCAAATTGTTAAAAAATATTAAAATTAAATATTAAAAATAATGTCCAAAATTAAAATAAAAATATTAACTGGTGCTCAGGCATAGTGCTTTTCACTGAAATTGTTTTAAATTGGCCTTAACTTTTTTAAATTTCCAGTATTTAGCCAACTATGATTGGCATATAAAATAAAACAGTTTTATTCATCGATGGAAAACAGAGAGCTGTATAAAAAATAATGTTTTTATGCAAATCCAAAATTTTTATAAATAAAAAAGGTATGCGCAATTTTCACATGGGCCGAAAATTGAGAAACGCCCTATATCCCGGTTGTAGTGTTAAGTCGATTACCATTTTGTTAGACACTGGGTATTTTTAGGTTTGCGAGATTTAAATCAATTTTGAACTATTTGATCGCCCGGACTTACAGGCGGATATTTGAACGAAATTGAAATGGTGACATACCACTATCATATGGTGGGTTTATGAAAAAAAATATCAACTACCAATTAGTAACTGGGTTGTTCGTCTAATTATGTACACTTGGATGGTCCTCAAGAAATTAATTTGATTTTCAAAAACATATTATTATGGGTCAAATTTGCATTCATAATTTTGCAGTAGACTATCAGAACAATGCTGACAAAGTACCTGCAAGACGGGACAAAACAATAATATTTAGAAAGGCATCCAGTAAAGTTTGTTTTTACCATCGAAATCTAAACCGTCTTTAATTCTATTTTCCTTAGAAATTTCTAAATTTTTATTATTTCCGTAACTTAAACTTTCTTAATTATTGATTTTCACTTCTAATTAACAAATTATTTTTTCATATTTTAATATCTATAATAATATGATTTAAATTTGTGCTAATCCTACTTATTGATAATTTTGTAATTATGAAAAACTGTAAATTTTGATCTTTACGAAACACATTTTCTTTTGATCGTCTGACCATAAAAGACTTGTGACACCTTGCTTTTAGTTTTTCGAATGATCTTCGTTTTGTTTGGCGGTGATAAATTGCTCTTGATTAAGATTTATGTAATATCGCTGATTATGCAGTTGATTACTGCTATGATTGTTTCCTTGATTTGCTGTACCTGTTTATGACTCTGTGTGTGTGTGTGTGTGTGTGTGTGTGTGTGTGTGTGTGTGTGTGTGTGTGTGTGTGTGTGTGTGTGTGTGTGTGTGTGTGTGTGTGTGTGTGTGTGTGTGTGTGTGTGTGTGTGTGTGTGTGTGTGTGTGTGTGTGTGTGTGTGTGTGTGTGTGTGTGTGTGTGTGTGTGTGTGTGTGTGTGTGTGTGTGTGTGTGTGTGTGTGTGTGTGTGTGTGTGTGTGTGTGTGTGTGTGTGTGTGTGTGTGTGTGTGTGTGTGTGTGTGTGTGTGTGTGTGTGTGTGTGTGTGTGTGTGTGTGTGTGTGTGTGTCTGTGTGTCTGTGTGTCTGTGTGTCTGTGTGTCTGTGTGTCTGTGTGTCTGTGTGTCTGTGTGTCTGTGTGTCTGTGTGTCTGTGTGTCTGTGTGTCTGTGTGTCTGTGTGTCTGTGTGTCTGTGTGTCTGTGTGTCTGTGTGTCTGTGTGTCTGTGTGTCTGTGTGTCTGTGTGTCTGTGTGTCTGTGTGTCTGTGTGTCTGTGTGTCTGTGTGTCTGTGTGTCTGTGTGTCTGTGTGTCTGTGTGTCTGTGTGTCTGTGTGTCTGTGTGTCTGTGTGTGTGTGTGTGTGTGTGTGTGTGTGTGTGTGTGTGTGTGTGTGTGTGTGTGTGTGTGTGTGTGTGTGTGTGTGTGTGTGTGTGTGTGTGTGTGTGTGTGTGTGTGTGTTGATTACTATTTTGGACTTGATTTTGAGAACACAAAACTGACAGTTTACTTTTCGATTTGAAAAGACAATCTTCTTCTAAATGTTTTAATTGTCCGGGATACCTACACACTAATTTTGTGATTAGAAAATGAATCGGCAATTATTGTTTCTAATGCGAACCGTAGCAATTGTACCAAGCATGAAATTGAAAAACTTTTTACATCTTTCAATAAATTACCCCCCAAAATTTGAACTGTATAAGTTTGGTACTTGCAAAAAAGGCATCATTGCCCCAGGGTTTTCTTTTTATTCAATGTCATTACTGGTTTCTTATAGGAAGAGTCTTCTACTTCCTATTGAAACCAGAATGAATCTCTCTATCTAAACTCTCTTAAACCAAACCTTTAGCTTCATCCGAACTTCATCCACATTTCCGAAGATCCCTATTTGCTTTATTTACATTTACCCGAACAAATTAACAATAGATAAAAACATAAACTTTACTGGATGCCTTTATAAATATTATTGTTTGGTATCGCTTTGTACTTTGTCGGTCCATAACTCGAGTGTTGTCTCGTCTGATTTATTTTAATTTATTTATCAACGAATATTAGGAATTTTCGGAACATATGTTTTTACAGTAACATCAACATTATACTATGACAATAATTCGTATGTATAGTTTTAACTCTTAGTAATTTTAGTTGTTATATATTTTGGACGGAATAACTTTTCGTTTCAATTTTAGTTTCTTGGGGAGTGATTTGTTTAATTCGTTTTAAAAATACCAAAAAATATAGAGTGGTCCACTAAAAGCAAACAAATATTGAATGATGATTCAAAATCGACAAAAAAGACAAGTTATCAGACAACTAAGATACGATGGTATCTTAATACAAAATAGTTGTAAATTAGCCTTAACTTACCAAAACTAAGGGAGCTTTTATTTTCGTTAACGTTGGTTCCACAAACATGCAGGTTCCCGAAAATACCAAGATCGGCATTTTTCAAATTTTATAGGATTTCGTTGCTGTGATATCTGTGACGATACTCTTTCAAACTGAGAGCTTCTTCTTCGGAAAATTGGAGACCATGTACACTTGCCTTTTCCACGTCAATCAAGAATTGATCACACATTTGCTTAACATCAGTTATTATATGAGTGTAGGAATCACTAGATTTATCAACCATGACATCAAGAATAGTTTTTCCATCATGTGTTATCAACACCAAGGTTTTCAACACATTGGGATGAAGGTTGTTTTTCATCCAATTAAAAACCTTTTGAAGCAATTCACCGTGGTTCCAGAACACCGCTTCGAAAAATACGGTGCCTCTCGGAGTAGTCATCAACACCAACTTGTTAAGCAGCTCAGGATCATCGTAACGTGATTTGATCCACTCTAGAAAATATTCAATCAGGTCCCAGTTGCCCATCTCAATTCCAAAGTGCAAAACAGTTTCTTCGTTTTCACCGCGTTTCAGCAAAATGGCATCCAAAATTCCTGGAAACCTAGGCACCAGGTTTAAATTTAGCCAGTTCAAAAAAAATTTTAACGGGCTCACATCGTTAAGAAGTGCATTGGCCGTCGGAAAAAATGTCCAATGCAATGCCGTCTTTTCTTTAGGCCTTCCTAAAATAATTTCCTTTACAATATTAATAGAGTCCTCCCCGAACTTATTACCGATCCATTTTAACAACCAAAAAAACATTTCAAATTGACCACTCCAAATGGACATATTCAACGGATTCGCAAAACAGGGAGTTATTATCATTTTAGTCAGCACTCCAAAATGGCGATTTTCAACATTTTCCCTGATCCACGTTATCAACCACAACATATTGTCGATATTACCGTTCTCGGCCATGCCACCTAAAACGTTTTCCACATCGCTATCTCGAGCTCCCAGCATTGCCAAAAACGTATTATCGTCTAAGTTCGCTATTGCCCAATCTAGCAATACCCCGAGCGACTCCATGTTGCCATTTAGAGCCGCCGTATGTAAGGGATTGATACTAACGTCATTTTCTGTTAATAGTAACTTTATGGTGTCTGGGTATTCTTGTTCTAAATTAGTTTTAATCCAGTCTAACATCCATCGGAGTGTATTTTTGTTATTTCTATTCACTTCGGAATGGAATATAGTCCACATGTCTTGATCTTGGGCTAAGACAACATCTCTGAGTGTTCTAGAATCATACTGGATTACTTCCAAGAGAACGTGAATGACTTCACTCGAAGACGCCAAACTGAACGCTGTAAAATCATTTTTGGTGGCCGCAGATAATATATCTCGCAGGATTTCGACTTTACCGGTGTATTTCTCCAATAGGAACTTTATAATAGACTCGTTTCCTTCGCTGGAACAGACGTGAAAGAACGTTTGGTCCTCATAATGTTCCTTAAAGTTTTCAAACAATTTGTTTGTACTCTCGCTTAAATTAACGGTTAACAATTTTCCAAAATTTTTCTGACACGATTTGGATATATTTATCATTTCTCCGCACTTGAAGCTGTAAAACAATTTTAAATATTCGTTTAAAAATCTTCGTATAGGATAGTGGTCGAATTCAATCAAAATTTCCTTTAACAACACGAACTGCACCTTCGCGTTGTGCAAGTTTTTTGTTAGATACTGAGCAAAAAAAAAATCCGCAAAACTTCGGTGGATAAATTGTAGACGACCGTTCCTGAAAGTTACTAGTCCTATCCTAGATATTTCTTCGTCGCTTATTTTGTCATCCTCTAGATCATCCTCGAACCGCAATATTTCATTCGATATTGGCAGGGATCCATCATCACATTCTTCGGGAAAAAGAAGCGTAACGGCAAGCTCTTCGTGAATTCTCCGCAAATGTTTGGAGTCGCGGCCCATCGTGGCATCTACCGCTTGGTTGCCGGGTTTCATTATTTGCTTTTCTGTGTAATAAATTCTCAACTTGGTATCTACAAATTGTTCGTACAGCGAAAGCAAATTCATGTTCTCGGGTAGTTCTAGTTTAGTGTCAAAAACTACTTCGGCCGTCATACGCAACAGGAGAGGAGTACTAGTGAATGCCTTTACTTTATTCGCCACTTGGGAATTCCATCTATCAAGAAACAAATCTATGTAACCGGCAAAATCTAATTCTGCTAATTTACCGTATAGTGTCTCGTCGCTCTCCGACGCGGATTTTAAGCAGTCCGTAACACCGTTTTCCAAAGTTTTAATTGACTTTGCATCGAACTCATCCATCGAGTTTAAGGTGCAGTTGATATCCCTCAGATATATTCTCTTTGGACTTGCTGGGATCTTTCTGGAAGCGCAAACAGGTTTTCCAGAACTTGTCCAGGAACACTTTCTGATCGTCGTCAGTAAACGAATTCAGTACAAACGCTGGCGACTGCAGCTGCTGCTCCAGATAAGATTTTGTATGGACCCTCGTAGTAATCCAAATTTGCCCGCAAGATTTTCGTTTGATCGCTTTCAGTAACATTATCGTGTTTTCCTTGTAGGCCGAATCCATCGAAAAGAAAAGCCACGCGCAGTTTGATAGTTTGCGAAATGGCTGCTTTAAACAGTTTCCTTTGAAAATTAGCAACGACGCCATTACTTGCCGCTGGTATAATCATTTGTACGACGAAATCGATAGTCTCGTTGTCGGTCCAATTCGGATCGACAAGGTTGAGACTATGCTCAGTTGCTTTGGATGCGAAATCGCATAGATTAACTCTCGCGATCCAAAGGTGTGACGATCGGCTTTTCATGATATTGGCCATATTGGTCAGCAATGTCGATTTACCAAACCCGGACTCGTTGGCCACGATGATAACTTTTCTATCTAAAATTGTTGCATCGCATAAACTGCTTTCCGTTATTTCACGAGGGTCTGTCACCGACTCGCAAATATCGATATATTTTTCTACTTTATTGAAATTTCCTCTGAACGCTTTTAAATACAAATTGGACTTCACATATTCTAATAAATAGATATCTGCTGTCGGGTTTTTGTTATACATTTTTTCAATCACCTCATTACCATGGGTTCTAGTGACCACAGTTACGCCAGCTCTATACTTTTTTGATGGGTCCCACAGATGCACATCTTTCCCGTCTATGCAGGCATTGCCTTTCAAGTCTTTAATATCTACGAAACGAGACTCTAACGTTTCGACTATGACGATAGATGTGTTACCACAAAATTTTAAAAAATCTGGACTTACTTGTTGCCAGGACAGGGTTCTGTCGACGTAATATTCGTAACCCAGGGAATTAAAGCACTTCGTGTCTCCAATCTCGAGGGCATCTCCTTGAATCAAACTGCTCAAAAGTGCTGGATCTACGATGCAATCGGCATCAGCGCTTTCGAACACTTTGTCGAGACTTAACTGAGTTCCCTGGAACGTAAATGTTGTCTCTAAAACTTTCAGTTTCGAATCTTCAGTCAGATCACTAAATTGCTTTTCGTTGTCTACTAGTTGAATCGTTCCGCCTAGATGTTTTGCTAAATTGCAATCAGACGGTGCGATAATGATAATCTTTTTTGCCGATCCCTTGAGGGCGCTTAGTAATTCTAGAGAAAGTTGCTCGATTGAATTATTCTGAAGAAGACAACAACATTCAATTATTAACAGATTAAAACTGCCGTTTTTCTTGAACGATTCGATTGCAAGTTGCTGGATATTTATTCGGAAGAGGGTTTTTAGGTTCATGAAAATAAAACTGTCGTCTTTGCTTAATTGCTCGGTGCTTCTTAAGACCTGCAAAACCTTGATCGATGTAAGACGTTTGAAATCAGAAATAACGCGGAGAATGCGATGGTCACCATTTAGGAACTGAAGAACTGATTTTGCAATGACCCACAGAGAATCACGACTGTAGGAAATGCCGTAGCTCTCCAATTTCTCTGGAAACGCTTTACCCAGGCCGCACGTCATCAAACTGTTTATTTTATTTTTTAAACATTTAAACAGATTATTCGCGCTTCGTCGTGGTAAAAATTCACCTCTACCTTTATTGTACTGGCCGAGCCAGTCGAGAATTTCCTTCTGGAAAGAACACGTAGCTAGTTCAGCGTCGAGCAAGTTAAACTCGTCGCCAAATTCTTTCGCTATTAATAGCCGCAGTTGTTCCACGCCAGGGTAGTTGCACACTAGACGAAATTTCTCGGCGAATTCTATAATTCTCTCGTCCAGTTTTGGTCTGCTGGACAAAATTTCTACCACAGCTAGCTCGGAAAGCGCATTATCTAAGTCTTTTGTTAAAAAGCTTTTTGCGTTTTCTAAATCTTCGCTTGCTTTCCGTCTCGCCTTTGCTAACGAATCGAACGGTAAAATTCGACTTAACGAGGATTTCCATAGGCTCTCCAAGTCATCTGTGTTTGTTAAATTTATCAGATCGCGCCTTGCGGTTTCCAATATCTGGTGGACATTGCCCAGTTCTTTGTCGATTTGTACTGATTTTACTTGATCCTTTAATGTTCCTTTACACCGATTTATTTTCTGCCTCGCTTTTGTAGTGGTTTTTTCAGATAGTTTAACGACTTCATCGATGGCGAGCTTCAACCTAGCCATTTGCGTTGAATCCTTCTTGTCAGCAGGAGTTTTAACCAAATTGTCCAGTGCCCTTTTTAAGTCGACGTCCGCTTCCTTGCCGAAAACAATGTCCTCCATTTTCACTACCGCTTTGCCTAAATTGACAATATGCGTCTTTACCAATTTCTTGGCCTTCAATGCGTTTTCGGATTCCACTACCCAGCTTTCCGCCTCCAACGCTTTCATCGAATTAATCATATCTTTAACAGATGCGATTTTGTTAACCACTTTGCCTTGCAAAGCCGTTTCAATCAGCGAATCTTTTACTATACTCAACAGTTCATTTTTGGCGAAATTATTGAACCTGTAGACTTGAGCTTCAAAATATTGATCGTCGAAATAAAGAATGTTGTCGGAAGCAAGCGTCTCCACGTCAAACATCTTTTGCCATCGCTCAACGAGCTCGTTATGTTTCTGAGCTAGTGCTGTGGGGGTGCCGTCTTTTTTCACACGCTCTACCAAGCTCAGATCTAAATCAGCGTTGGTGCATAGCACGAAGTCCTTCAAAGTCTCGTGTTGAAATTCAGGGCTGTTTCTGATTTTGCAAAACGATATGAAATATTTCTGTAAACTAAAATCACCGTCCGTCGTAGTAGTCAATTGGGCAACGGTAACTTTATGATTTTCCGGATCCTGCTTGTGTTTCGCTTGCAAACAGCTCACGGACCATCGTGGGTCGTCGATGGACTCCTGGTACTGAATGACGACGTCGTCAAATTTTTCCGCTTTGTCTATTTCCGTAGCGAGCATGAAGTCGTGATAAAATCTAAACCCTCGCCTGGCGAAAACCATGAGCAGATACAACTGATATATTACTCCGTGTAAGGAAGTGCTCAGTCCGGATTTTTCGTAAGTCGAATGAGGTAGAAATTTTGCTTGCGAATCTCCGATTTTCTGCTTCTTGCCGTTATTTTGCAATTTGTCGTCCGCAATCGGCCGTTTTCGATTTGAATTGGACGATGACGATGATGTATCTAAGAGCCGTTTTATTTCCATCCACTGAATATTCTTCCGCAACTTAATTTCGACTAAATCCAAGGCCGTCTTGCTCTTTCCGTCTCGCGCGCAAGTGTCGATCTCTTCCAAGGTCAGCAAAAGTTTGGCTGCTACTTGTCGATTTGTTTTGATTGCTAAATGCAACGGAGTGTTTCCGCGGTCATCTCTGACGTTAAAGTCAACGCGATGGCGTAT